CTTTGGCTGCACTGAAAATGCTTACCAGGGAGGGAGAGTCAAAAGGCTTCCATCTCTTCCCCCACTCTGATGAGTTAGGCGTTAATTTGCAACCATGGCTCTTATATTAGACTTTTTGCAACTACAACGAGGGCCCATCCCTGCCCCTGAGGCCTCATCTTGTCTGCTTCACCCTTTAAAATATTATAATTCTGGATCAATAAGACCTAAAGGCCACGTTTTACTCAAATAGGTTGTATTGGTCAGTCTCATTTACTCTTACATATTTATAAATAGGCGAGCTTGAATTCAATAAGCACATTTATGTAAATGTTGGGCAAAATTGAGTCCACCCAAGTTAAGTGTGGGAGGGTGGTGGCTGTGCGTCCCAGACTAGTGCCTTTGAACTGTAACTATGTATACATAGTTACCCTGCAGGCTTAATTTTAGCTGGATGAACTACCAGAAATGTTAGCAATCTGTCTTTTCAGATTACTTTTGCTCTTTCTCTTTGCTAAAAGACAGATTTTTAAAGTATGGAACCTTGGTTTCACATGTTTCTTTAAACAGAACTGTAACAATTTTTATCAGCGAATATATATATATATCTTAACGTGAATTTTTAAACATCTGAGGCAATTCATTTTCAAATACTTGCATGTTTTACCTTGAAAAATTATACCATCTACAGATACTCTATATTAGTCTACGTAGCTAGAGATGTACAGTGAATATATATTGTGCATGTACTTTGTGTGTATGTATGTATACATATATATATACACATACACACCATATATGTGTGTTATATATATAGATGTGTGTATACACACACACACACACACACACACACACACACAGGGAAGGAGGAGAGTGGATTTCAGCTAGATGGTTCCATCTTATTTGTATTGAGATTGTCCCTTTGAAAAAAATCTTTACAAATTCTGTTCTTAACAAAAACCCTCAAAATCTTAAAAATTTGAAATCTCATGACAAAAAAGTAATACAAACATGTTAATGAATATGATCAAATATTGTAATTTATACTTTATCTTCAGGACTTTTCCATTTTAAAAATAACCAGGACAGTTTTAACAAATATATTTTTCTCAGTAATGATGACTGAGTAATAATCCTCCATTTCACATTCAGTACTGTAGCTTGTAAGTGCAGTAATGGGTACAGTTGCTACTACATTTACCATCTGACCGTATGCTATAACATACATCTGCCAAGGAGGACAGACATTCCATTACAATAATAAACAACATAGGCATAGCCTTAAGGCAAATCAACAGATATCAGATATCTTCTTTCTTTTATCTGTTATCATGTAGCACATACATCTGTCATATGTGTCAGGCACTTGCTTTGACACTGAAAAAGATGTACGCAACTGGGTCTCTCACCTGGAGGAGTCAGGGGTGGTGGTCGTGCAGATAAATGATTATCATATGATGTCAAGATGTTCTAAGTGTAAAAGAAGTGTATACGAGGTGTCATAGAAGTGCAGAATGAAAAAAATAATGCCTAACTGCTGGAATCCAGGAATGAGGTCAGGAGATAATCACAGAGAAGATGGTTTTTGAATTGAGTATGAGGTCTTGGTAGGAAATACAGAGTGGTAGTTAAGAGAATAGTCTGTGGCTAGACTATATGGGTTTAAACTCCAGCTTTACTACTTACCAGCCAAGGAAACTTAGGCATGTTATTTAACCTTTCTGTGCTTCAGTTTTCTCCTCTGTAGAATGGGCATAATCACTGAGCATAGCTCATAGGAAAAAAGTGAGGATTATGTGAGTTAGTGTGTGCCACGGGCTTAGAACAGTGCAAGGCATGACTTGGAAATTCAGAACATGGCAGAACATGGAAAGCCCTTAATCAGTGTTAGCCCCTATGCCAGTGATAGCAGAATAAGAGAAAGCAAGGAGACACAAAGTAGTATGGCAGGCTTGGCTTGTTAAAACTGAAATATGAGGTGTATTTTTGTAGAAGGAGGTGGGAAATGACAAGATAGGTGGACAGATTAAGGGGAGAGAGCCTCCTATGTCACACCAACGAGGCTCACGTTCATGGAGCCAGTAGAGAATTTTAAGGAACAAATTAGGTTTTGTATTATAAAGAGATAACTCTGGAGCAATGGGGAATGTATAGAGGTCAGATTAGCTAAGAGATTATTGATGAGAAAAGATACAATAACGGCTCTTGCTGAGGGGTGGAGGATAGAGTGGAGATTCAAAGTTATATTTTTGAGGTAAAATTGATGAGAGTTGTTAACCGATTAGATTAAGGGAGATGAAGTAGAAGTAGAAGGAGTTGTGGATGACTCTTGGACTTCTAGTTTGGGTGATCTGGTAAAAAGACTGGAAGAAAAGCAGGCTTGGGGATAAGGTTTTGGATTTGTCAAGATGGATGGGCCTATGATGTGACCAAAGTTTAATGTTTAGGCCTGCCACTCAGGAGCTGGAAGTCAAGATTCAGTACTCCTCAAGATCTAGGTAGCAGTTGACATGTGGGAATGTGAGTGCATGACACAGGTTATACACAGCAAGAGATTCAGGGACGGTTCTGGAACATTGTACAGCCAAAGAAAGCTGAGCCAGCAAAGAAGAGCGGTCACAGAAAGAGGAAATGTAGAAGAAAGTGGAAACATGGAAAATGATGGAGAAGGAATTCAAGGAAGAAATGTTCAATTGCACGGGGGGAGTCAGAATGAGAACTGAGAATTGTACTTCAGACTTGGCAAATAGGCAAAAAAGCTGAAGAAAACCTGTGAGCTATTATCATAGTGAAGTATAACAGCATAGGAAAGAGATACAGTGACTCCTCTTCATTAAGACCCTAGATGTTAATATTTCCTCCAATCTAGGTGAATACCTGGAGAACATCCTTGGGTGTGGTCTGGCTTCAGGCTTGGTGCATGAGGCAGATCTGGCCTGTCTTCACCAAGCTGTTTACCCAAAACCTAGCAAGGAGCTGTGGTGGCCAAAGATCTGTTTTGGTAGAGTTCTGGGAGCTCCTGATACATGGCTGGCTCCAGGAAGTGTTAAGTGGTCCTGGGAAGTTGCCAAAGAAGTTCTGATGCTTTGATAAGAACTTCAAAACTGTGAAGTTGCAGGGTTGATCTGGTAGCTTATGCCTGTGTTGGGGGGACAGGGGTGTTGGTGAGGATAGTGATAACAGGTTGATTCGAGTTGGTTCTTTTCTGAAACACATCCAAACTCTTGGCTCAGTCTTAGATGTGATTTTCTGATTGTTTGTTTCATTACCTGTTTTCTTATTTCCTTCCTTCATGTGTGAAAGTGTCTCATCTCTCCAACTGGATAGTCAATTTCTTAAGGGCAGGGATCACACTCCAAAGAATGTTTTGAACTCCCTTCAAGCACATTCCCGTATTTGACCCCCAACTCAGAATCCTGGTATTCTCAGCCTTACCTGACTTAGTGCCAAGAATGGGTCAAACCTGGACAGTCCACCTGGAGTGACGTCAATCCCCTCCCCGCCCCCCGTC